CATCGCCCTAACACGACCTGATCTTCAAAGGGTCACAAGGCAGAAATGACCTTCTAAGCAAATCAGACCTCTATCAAGGTGAATTTCTGTTCTAGAAATAGTGGTAATAAGGCGAATTTGTATTTATGAGATATATTCACCGTATTTCGTTTAAAGTGATAAGAGGGATGATAGTTGGATTTTCCCACAATCATATGAGTAGACCGTACGTTCCCATTGAATTTCACATAACCTTGCTTTTTTGTAAAGTATTCTCATCCAGCCCGTAATACAATTTCGACCTCGCATAGGTCCCATTAGCAGCCCCAAAGGGACTTGAACCGTGATAATGCAGCGTATAATATCCTCACGTTAAGCACTACGCCACATTGCCACGAGATGTGAATTTCAAGGAGCGTCAGGCATTTTTCACTATCACATTCTATCATATCACATTATTATCACCTTAAATAAAATATAGTCAATCCATCTAAGTATAAGAAGAATAAGTAATATAGTCGATTGCTATGGTAAATACAACTTTGCTTAATCGACAATCCCACTACAGAATATCATATGGGAAAATGATTTGCCTTTCCTAAAAGCTACATATACCCTGTCATCCAGGCGCAATCGTGGCAATATGGTGTAGTGCTTAGCCTGCCGAGAATATACACCGTACTGTCATGGTACAGATCCCGCTGGGATTGTTGATTAAAGCAGTTCAGGCGAGGTCAGAACAGCAATCCATCTTACATGATAAAAACTTCTAAGAAGCAAGGAAATATGAAACCTAATGGGAACGTGAGGTCTACCCATATGATTGTGGTAAAATTCAACTACTAGTCCCCTTATCACCCGAAAGGAAATGGTGAATACATTTCATTTATATGATATACTGGCAATCTCTGGTAATCTAGTATTAATAAAGACAAAAATTATATTTCCAATTGAATTAGACGATATTACTATTCGCATGGTGATCAGATCTTTAAACTATCAATATATCTATATATAAGAACTGCAAATAAGGCCAAGTTAAATTCAATGACTCGTAAAGCAGGCATCTAGGAAAACCATAGCATTTCGGGTTTCTGTAACTACATCTACTGATAGTGTCGAAATAAAAAAAGTCTCTTTTGACGAATTGTTATTTGGTGCTGAGAATGGCAAAACTCACTGACGATGCTGACGATGCCGACGAAATGACTGGAAACGTACAAAGTCCACAGTCTGATTCTGGAAATTTTCATGCATACTATGGATTTCGGATAAGGTGATTTCTTCTGTGTCTTCTTGCCAATATAAACAAGTTGCGAAAACAAAGTCAAACATCTACCAACAAAAGCATAGCCTAAGTATATGCCGAGTTGCCTAAAAGGGTCAGAAATGTCAAAATACAGACTCAGCATCACTTACAAATGAAGCTAGGCACTTGATAGCTCAGACCATGAGCTTACTGAAATACGACACGCCGTAGGGAAACTAGAGAACAGTATCCAGGCTTGAATGACCTCGAATGCTTCGAGTAATAGCATTGCTCAAAATGAAACCTAGATCCTTATATTATTTTGTTTAAATTGATGTTATTACATAAAAGGCAGCAATGCTACCTTCAAGTGAAAGCCTGTCAGGCATGACTTAGAGGAAGCAGGCTAGATCCCTTTGGAAAATCGACTACATATGAACATTGTGTTTCAACTTAAGACAGAAATAGCAAGGCACCCGTAGCGCCTTATGAAAACTGGTCTATTTATTCAGGAAATCCGAGTCAAACTGCGTCTCAGTGATGCACTAGCGGCCCCAAAAAACAATGAAAGAATGAGAAAATTCATGATTAAAGAATGAAGAGATTACTGGCTAGACTGCCAATCTTAGAAACACAGAATCAAAGCTAGGCCAAGAAGAGGTCTGATCCGGTAGGAAAGACTCAATAAACCAAGTTATGCCATCTTCTCACAGAGCTACCATTATCTCTATCAATCAGCTCATCATTTATTGTCACTCTGGAGTGATAAAATATCAAGTTACAAAAGGCCGAACTGTAGAATTCTTGAGCCACAAAAGGGTCGGCTGTATTTAGCATCGAGTGAGAAGTTTAAACATGGGCGCATTGAAGTTGACTGAGTAAAATTGTTTAGAACAGGTTATAGATTTTATGCAAACTGTACAGCGATGCGGTTTCGAATTCCTTGCCTGATTGACCACATATCTCCTCCAGACTGATATCTGTACAAACTCAAGAACGCACATACATAAAAATGAGAAATATAGGCATGAGTATATAAACAGAAAACTGCAAAAGCATATTACCTTAATTTTACATGCAAATTTAGCTGGAAAGGACCTGTATAATGGCCATGCCGAAAACCGAAAAAAATGTGTTTGCAAACACTCACAAATCGCATTCACTTTCAAATTTTCATAGAAAATTAAAGGTCAAATGATGTTAAACTATTTAAGGAATTTTAAAAATAAGGTATTTCACCCCATTTAGGAGTAGAAATCTGGCTTACTGGGCCTATTCATTTCAAAGAAGTAGGTCAAACTGTGCTACAAACGAGGGTACAATGGGATAGTAGATAAGACTGTCAAAAATATTTAATTTTCCCAATAGGCTTCCACTGATGTATCTAGCCTGAACTCTTAGTTAACTAAGAAGCAATAATAATTGTTAGAGGATTCTCTTTAACTGTACAAATAAGCATTTATTAGGTTGCGAAAAATAGCAAAATTATAGATATTGTTTAAACATCCATTAAATTGGAAAGTATGGTCACAACTCCCCTCGGCCAATTTATTTATAAACATCAAATTAGTCTCGTTTTACACCTATCTACCTTTGATATGGAGTAGACATAAGTGGTATGTGCCGGATGTCCAACATATAAAGACCTCGTGTTCAGTTCAAATCGCTTATTATGATCAGCATATAACAAAAAATAATCTTGATTCATAGGTCATTGAAATTAGGAAACTTTGACTAGAATCATATCGTTGAGCTTACTTCCATTTCGAGTGGAAGTGTTGGGTGAAGAGAGGTTGCTGGGTTCAAAAATCAAAGCTTGCTGAGCACAGGGCAGAAACGGGACAAGAGATTAAATGGTCTCAAACTTGTCGTTTGGCTGATTATGGTATGTTTGCGGCCAAACGTAAAATTAGAGAAGCCATAGAAATAAACAGAATAGGAAATACATTGAATGTAAGGAATACCGGCAAGAAGATTAGTAAAAACTATTTGTGTTTAATTGATAGATTGAAGGATAGAGAGGGAGTTGAGCCACCTGCAAAACGGAGGCGACGCAACTAGTCTTATCTTATTTTGGTTCTAATGATATTCAATTCTCTGTCCTTTTAGCTCACTGTTTCTGTCTCGCATTGAGACCAAAAACAAAAAAATAGGCATCTTAGCAATCGGAGTGATGGTTATAACTTAAATGTAGAAAGGGGGAGATAGGGGTCATCAAACCTTGATTGCCAAAAACAGACGTACCTTTTTTGCTGTCCTAATTACTTTGAGCCATCACTTCGGGTTTCGTGCATAAGCGAACACAATCATGCACATACAAATACAGAGACAGACACACTCACATGCATAGAAGTTGAC